TAAAAATATGCTCCCAAAGACTCAGTCCTGAACTAACTACGTTTCTGGGCTACACATTTGCTGCAGTAAAAACAATTCACATCAAAGAGGAAGGACGGTCTCGGCTCCAGAAGAGTGTCTGGGACTCAGGAGACTGAGGTTCACTTCTCAACTCTATTCAGTCAGTTATCTTAGGAGTCTCTGCCAAAACTGTGTGATTTCCTTTTAACTCCAGCACACCTCCATGGATCAGGGATAACAACCATTCCTCCCCACCTCTCCGGGACTGCACTCTCCAAACAACTGAACCACAGCAACAGGACATGACATTTTGGCTGTGCAGGCAACAGATACATTCCAGGTGATCCAAGCAGAGCTCTGACAAGTTGTAGACCCTCACCCTTCACGGAGTGATGTCAAAAGCCCTTCCCTACTCTTTCTTCAGGAGACACTGATGGTAGCTCCCATGCCAGTGCCTGCTTATACACAGGGAATAATGTTTGCCTGCAAGGGCAGCATTGGCTTGTGACCAGCCACTTGGTGCTTTCACCAAGGAAATGGTGATGGGCCAAACAAATGCCCTCTGGTGACCAGCTGCTCCATGTCAAGGCATGTTATAGCTCACGTCCCACTGCCCTAGCAAGTGCACACACAAACATATTTATATCCACACAAACATGTTTATATCCATACAAACAAGAAGCGATGTGCCTGTGCTTACCCCTGAAATGGAAAACACAACCTCTCTTTCAAACACCAAAAAAGCTTCTAGGGATAACCTTTCACAAATAAACAACCTGCTCTGCTCCGAGAGGGATTTTAGAAAGAACAGAGATTACAATGGGCTTAATCATGATTAAACACTGATCTGGTTCAATCTACTCAAAAGCAGACCAAAGATAAATAGAAACCTCCAGCAGATGCATTTCATACTGGAAACTCTGGAACCTCAATTGACGTCATACTTTTTATGTTCAGATAATATCTGGAGGAAACAGATCAAGAAAACAAAAGCAAGTTTTGAGTTAAAATTCTCCCTGTGCTGAGTAGAAAGAAGGTAGCTCCAGCAAGGCATGCACAGGGCAGCTCAGCATTCTACAGACCTGGTTTTGACTGTAGCTGAAATGGCACTATTAGAGCGATGCCACTAGATAGGCTCAAGTACTCCCTTTTGTCCTCATCTCCTGGGTCTTACCCTGTAAAAGTAGGCAACATTAGTCACTGGATTTCCCCTCAGACAGAAGCTGCTTCTGATCAGTGACAGGCAGTGATTTTCTTGTACTAAAACAATGTCACCGGCTCAGTATCCACCGCAGTTGGGATTCACTGATTCCTCAGGCACAACATGAAAGTTCTGCATGATGGGAAGGGGTTGTATCTAGGGCACATCTCTCAAATACAGACATCTGGTCTTTCCTGCGGGTGAGGAAACCCAGGAAACAGATTCCACATCACAGGAGACAACTCCAGCCATTAGTAATGCTGAGGGAGGTGGAAGAAGTAGAGCAATGAGCACAGATCATAGGGACTGCTTGCTTAGAGAGCCGAGTTTTGTGTTTCATTCAACAGGGTAAGGGTATTGTCTTTGGAGAGAAATACCTTTTCAAAAGGGGGGGTGAGGAATGTATGTGGAGGAGAAAGCTGATCAGAGATCTCTCATTCTATCATTTCACCTCTTCATGTCCACTCAAGCCCAACGGATGACCACATAACCTCGGCTAACAGATGGGAGATCCCTTCCTGTACTAAGACAGTTAGAAGCTAATCCCTACCTCTCCTGGTGCCTAGGGAAGTTATCCCGTGCTTCACAGCTACAGGACCTCTACTTCCAAACAGAGATGAAAGACTTTCAACCCCTTTTTATTTGTGACCTCCAAATCTTCTCCAGTGAAGGTGACAATTCCCATACAGACAATGTAAGCCTACTGATAATTACTTTGTTCTTCTCACTTGCTTTTCACTGACCTCTTGGACATAGCGTACAGTGCACAAATTTGGCACCACTGCCACAAACAGACCTTGAAGTGAAGCCTACCTTACTTACCCTGTTTTTCCAGGCTGCAAGTTATCACCTGCTTCAAGAACATCACCCTGAACAAAACCACAGTTCTCATCCCAGCTCCTACCATGCTTCAGCCCACCCGCTGTGGGATCCCTCCTGCCATCTAGATAGATCAATTTCAACTTCAAGCAGAATCATAGAATAGTTAGGGTTGGAAAGGACCTTAAGGTCATCCCTGCCATGAGCAGGGACAGCACACACTAAACTATGTCGCCCAAGGCTCTGTCCAACCTGGCCTTGAACGCTGCCAGAGGTGGAGGATTTAAAACTTCCTTGGGCAACCCATTCCAGTGCCTCACCACCCTCACTGTGAAGAACTTCTTCCTTAGATCTAATCTAAACTTCCCCTGTTTAAGTTTAATAATCATCACTTTGCAGTTGAATTCCACATTTCCACCAACAGCAGATGAGAGTTACACGATTTGCACTTCCTAGATGAGAAGCCACCAAACTGCTGTCTGTGGAACCAAGTGGACAGTCCTTCCTCGTCCCCAGCAACAGCAGATGCACTTGCTTATTAACACACAAATAGGAAAATCATGGGTTACTGTTGCTTTTACCCCGCAAAAAACCTCTGTCAAAACAAAAAGCTGTCAGGGGGTTACTAAATTTAAGGTTGTTGCACAGATTACTTAAAATTGCTCAATAACCTACTTCTGAAGGAGAAATGAGTTTAAGAGAAACACCTGAAAGGCACAGGGGGAACATTTGGCAGAATGCAAAGAGTATTTTTATCTTTTTTACAACATGGGTGACTCCTCCTGCACATCCTCCTGGCATCAAGCACCAGTGCCAACAAACCTTTTGGCATACCTGTTGCCTATGGAAAAGGAGGAGGGAGTTAAACATTACAACAACAAACAATGTGAAATGTCCCCTGGCGAGGCGGTTCAATCTATTACTTGCACAGGTTTCTTTTTAAGCTATAAAACCAGCATGTTCCTCGGGAGAATTATTTTGTTCCCCTTCCCAAAATAAATACAATTAACACTTGCCAAGGAGAATTCTTCATCTGCAATTAAGGACTTCCCAAAACTAGAAATAACAGCCTAGACCGAGTAAAGTACTCGAAAACACCCTGGGACAAGAGTCTCTGGGGATCTCTCCCAGAGCTCTGCTTCTTCCCCAGGAACAATCAATCTTGCAGTTAATATTAAAATATTATTATTTAATAAGATTCTGTATTCCTGCAATACAACACATGGAACTAATGATTTACAAATACAAAACTCTGCGTGTGTCCTCAAAACCTGACCCTGCAAGCAGGGATTTTGTTCTAGTCTACTTCTCCCCCCCAGAACTCCTGTATTTAAAAACTAAAGACAGTGAATTTATTTGAACTTACATAATGCCACCCTGGTATTTCCAGAGGGCTAATCTGGCCTTCTACGTTCTTTAAGCTTGGCATTGTATGAAAGCAGATATCAAATATTCAGAGAGCTCTATTTAGAAAGATCCTTTCTCTGAGGCTGAGCCTTTCTGAAGACCTTCCTGCAGAGCTCCAGGCTATGCCTCAACCAGCCATTCCCACTAGGCTAAGGGCATTCACCCGTGCCAAGTATGTTTTAGGAGGTGTCGGGCCAAAGGGAGGTGCAGACCTGACAGAGAGGTGAGAATTGCACAGGGTGTGAAGTGCCAGAGACATGACTGCTGCAAATGATGGTAATTTGTGAACAGTAACCTGTTCTGCACAATGACTGGTTGAGAACCACGTCTTTGCATGCAAAAAACTACAGCATCACCTGCTAGTCATCATCTGTCACTGCCTTTTAACAAGATCCACCTCTTCGGGTCAAAATCAGAGTTCACAAAAGCCACTGAAGAGATGCCCCTCTTGAATTAACAGGGTTGTACGTAGGGCCTCTGTGAAGCACCAACCCGCTGCTGCTGCACTTTGTCTTATCCAGTGCTTCTAGAGTACTCAGCAGATGCAGCCTTAACCCAGTGCTTCAGGACCTTCTCCTTCACACAGGCAGGATGCGCTCATGGCAGGAGAAGGTTTCCTTCCTTCCTTGCCAGGTCACTGCTTGGGTCAGCACCAGCCCAATACCTGCCATGAAAGCAGCAGTTTTCCCAGCAGGACTCTGAATCCAGTGGTTTTCTTTGAATCCTGCCAAGTCTCTTCTATTTCCATGCTGCCTCACAGCTGGCTCCTTGGTCTCCTAGATGCAGAAAGTGAAGGGAACCCACCAGTCCCAGTATAGGTACTGGGAGTCCAGTCCTACTCTCCAGGCTGGCAAAATCATAATCCAGTAGGAAATACAGCACTTGGTTCTCCACGCAGAAGGTCCCTGAACAGGACCACATCGCTTGGATGCAGGAAGCCATCAGCTCCACACAGCTCCTCCTCTTTGTCTCCCTCTCCCCAGCCATGCACAGGCTGTTTGCAAACCTCACCATCCCTGGGACAGTGATGGATGGCACATCCCTCAGCTCCCTGGAAGGCCAGACTTAAGGCAGGCCTATCCCTGCACAAGGAGAGCTGAAGCTAACAGGCACCATACACTCAGCTGGTGCTGTTAGGGCTGATGTAGAGTAGTTGTCTGCTTTGACCTCTTTATCACTAAATTAACCCATATTCTTGCCAAGGCACCTCCTACCATTCTTCTGAGCTGGATGTTCAAAAGGGGGTCCTCAGCTGCTACTCATTCTACTTGAAGCATTCATGTTTGTTGGTTCAAATCACCTACTTAGCTGTTAGCAAGGAACTGATTTCAGGAAAGCTAATACAGGCAGGTTGCAGGTATTGTTCACTCCAAGCCCACTGCAGAATCAGAAAATACCAAAAGCATGCCATCAACTCTGTTAAAACACCATCCCTCTGACCTCATGTACGACATAGCCAGGTAGATGTCCTATTTTATGCTGCTTGATCTTCCATAAGGTCAGGAATCCCAGCTAAAACAGAGGGTTTTAAGAGCTTAAATGTATTATGACAATTAGATATGTTTTAAAATACCTTTTCCAGCGCTTCTCTATCGACCAGCTCCTGTACAGCCAAAAGCTTGATACTGTAAGAAAAAACAGAGAGAAAGAGAAGAATCACTCCATTGCAAGCATTACAGAAACACAAGTAACAGCAGAACAGAAGGTCTCTTTTTATCCTCCCACTTCACAAAGCAGCCTGTAGAAGCAGCAAATGATTACATTACATTTTCAATACCTTAAATTAACAATTAAGGATCTTCTGAATGATAAACACAGAGGAAGACTCCGTGTTTATCTCCTCTCTCTCAACATTTCCAATGGGTTTAGTCAGCTTTGTTCTTCAGTAGCAACAGGTTTCTCTGAGTCCCACAACAGTCATTCCCAGGGATTTACACCACCATATATTAAGTACAGTAACTAATACAATCCAGCTCAAGAAATTTGAGGGAGATATGAGGGAAATGTGTGTAACTGCTTGAAAGTAGGGTAAAGAGATTATCCATAATTATTATTCTTGTAATGCCATTCGCTGATCAAAACCAAACTAATTCACCTACTGGATCTTTTCTAAATTCACCCCTAGGGGCTAAATCCCGCACATTGAATTTCCTTCCCTTCAAAAAGATTGAGGGTTACCCAAGCAGGATTTGGCCCTATAAGACGAGTGAAATCACAGCTAAATCAAAGTATGTAAGAGAACCATGTAAAACATCTGTACTTTCAAAATCAGTTTAATGAGCAATTAGAAATTATCCATCCTTCAACTTCAGTTACTTATACATGTCCCCATATAGTGCAAAAGCCCCATCCTTTCCACAGTGAGGAATTGCAGGGAAATCTCTTGTTGCACCCCCACCGAGCTGCAGGGCTCATGGGACAGGTATGAACCCGAAAAGTCCTGGCAAAGCATTGCCAACAGGTCAAAGGAGGTGATCTCTCAGCTCTACACAGCACTGGTGAGGCCACACGTCACACATCCCCACCCCAGGGCACTCACAGCAGTGACCTTAGCCAGGGAGTAGAAGCCCATCTAAGCTTTAGCGCTCCACACCTTTGGTGCCTACTTCAAGCTTTAGATTGACTATATGGTTAATGAAATGAGAGAGGAATTTCACTTCCCTGGGGCAGTTCAAGCCACTCACCAAGTCTGCCAAAGGATATAATTGGTCATGTACTACAAGAAGTTTTATTCATCTTTCAAAACCTCAGAGCAATGTTGCATAATTCTTGAACGTCCACTGACATCTTATACATTAATCATGTAAATCCATCCCGTAACAGCAGCTGGCAAAGCAGAGCTTTAGTCCTGTCCTTCTGCTGTGCTACAATGCTTTCCACTACAGGTATCCACAACCTAAGCCCTAAACACAAACGTGCTTTTACTTTAATGTTCTTCTGCTTTTCAGATGCCTTCAAAGCACCACAAAAAGCCAATGAATTATAAAATAGCCCCAGACCATACATTTCCAGCCTGTAGAGGCTATTATGACTAAGACAAGAGGGTGGAGATGGTTCAGCAAACAACAAGGTAATCAGGAAAAAGGTATTCCATTAAAGCCCAACAACCACAGGAGCAGGGGGCACACAGTTTGCTGTTACCATTTGTGCTGCACACAAGCATTCAGCTGAACTGGAAGGTGCATAGTAAAATCCCACATTTTGCCATTCCCTTCTGCAAGCTGTACAACAATGTGGGCTTTCTTATGCAAATTCCTTTTGTCTTTTTCCTTTTGAAACCCAAAACGTAATCGTGAAAAGGTGGAATTTATCAATCAAGGCTGCTTATACCAATTGACTGATTTATTTGTAGGACATCAATCGTGGATTACCTGGCACTCAATACCTGCAGAAGAAAGAGACTGCCGCAAACGTGAGTACCGTTCTCATCAGAGATCATCATCTTACTGTACAAACCTACCCTCCTTCCCATTCACACTAGTAAAGCCTCACAAGAACTCCTGGTATGCTTCTATTTAAAAAAGTATACCAAGTTACACAGAAGCAAGAAATAAAACAGGGAGCAGGAATCTTCTTACAATAACTCACTGTATTTATAGAGATGCTGTTCTCTTATTCAGAGGTGAAAATCCCATAGAAAAAGCTTACATACTGCAGAGATACTGCATCTACAAGGCCAGAAGCAAACCTGAATTCAACGCTGTTATGTTATTTGCAACAACACTGGTTTGACTCCTGGTGAAAAAAAGACTTCCCTCTACCGTAATAACTGTACAGAGATCAATGTCTGCCCAGTACTTCACTCTTTCAAGTATTTTTTCTGGGTCAGAAGGTATCAGTAAATGTAGATATCAGCCTCATACAACCTGCTGCAAGATGCTTCTTTCCTTGAAGCAGCATCACGGATGCTCTCTGCCCATTGCATTACAGTCCTGGAAAACTGCTCAACAGCCAGTGATTTACTGCTCTCTCTTCCAGCAATTCCAAGCCACGTTAGTATGTGCTACTTTATGCAGCGTTGGCTTAGAAATGCAGCTTCTTTCAAGGCTGCTGCTTTGGGGGCTTGATGCTTTGAAGAGACATCAGGCCACTTATTTAGGCACTACATCAGCAATCCTAAAGCAACTCACAACTACGTCTGCTGTTTGTAGCTTATGTGTTCACCAAGGATTTCAAAGCAGATGGGAATACAATCAGTATGAGAGGGAGGGAGGATCTCTAATAAAGCAGAAATGCGAAGACAGTTACCCAAAGCCAGTGCTGAAGCCCAAGATCTTGCTGTCTACAATGCAACACTTTAGTACTCTGTTTCTATACTGTGGTGTCATTTCTTTCTTCTTCATGTGTGGCATGTAAACACTAACTCATGAATGAAGTCATAGAAAAATCATATTTCCTGAAGAAACCTTTTGGATCCTGGAGCACCTGCTCTAATGTACCAGCTTTAAAGACACCTGCAATGCAAGTAACTATACCAACTTGATGCAGATGGCCCTGCTTGTATCTGAAACCCTGTTAAAAATACTCCCTAACTCAATTACTTACATGATCTATTTAAACAAAGCTATTGAATTTAATATCCTGGCCCCTCCGGCACACTCAAAATACATGAAAACGTGCAGGGATCAGGATGAAGGACTCTCCTCCAGCTGCAAAAATATGCAAACATGATGTGCTGTCAAGGAAACACATGACTCCCTCTTTTTTTGGCCATGGGTGACGCACAGCATCCTCCTCTAAGGGAATTCCTTTTGGTTTCCAGAAGATTAGTCACAGTGCTAAGCAAATGCCTATAGCTACAGCACATCTCTGTTCCTCAGGGCAGCATTGCAATCCTTCCCTCAAGGTCTTCTTACTTAAAAACACACAGCGTTGGGTTCTTCTCTCTAACCCCACGTACCCAGGAATAATCTAAGCCTTCTCAGCAACCTGTTGCAATACTGCAAACTTGCCAACAGACCCCTTGCTGGTCGGTGCATTCCTATTAACCATGAGCCACCGTTTGATTTGCATTGAGCTTCGCTTCCCAGCTTGAGTTCACACTGCCCACAAAACCCCATCTGCTCTTGCAATAAGGAATGTCAGGGCCTTCCTAAGAACCACCTCAGGTTCCTCTGACTGCAATCCGATGAAGCTATTGCAGCAAGCCAGATGGGATAGACACAAAGCGACACGCAAGGCAGATGCAAGAACTGTTCATGCAGAATGCAGGTGAGGAAGAGAAGAGAAGCTGCTTCCTCCAAAACCACTTTAAAGGGTGCTTTAGGGTAGAGAGGAATTAGGATTTAGGTAGAGAGTGCTATAGGGGTAGAGAGGAATTAGGATTACAGCCAACTTCTGGACCATCCCTGCACAGCACTAGAATTGCAGCCGTCAGGGACACGGGTCACTTGGCCATCAGTATTAAAGGAGAAGGTCTCCAGACCTCAGTGACCTGCATCTGCTGCGCTGACCCCAGAGCGGAGCTGAGGCTCCCATTCAGTGCAGAATGGGAGTTCCAAGAAAAAGGGGCAGAGGAGTAAGTGAGGCAAACGTGAAGCATTAAGTTCAGTGATCAGGGTCAGCGAGCACTGAAGCATCGTGATGGCATCCTGCAGAAGCTGCCAGGTGCTGGAATGCAGCGTGGCTGCAAAACCAGAGCACAAGATCCCAGCTGGAACCCGGCACTCTCAGCGCCTGCATCTTGGCTCTATGTGCCTTGTAAGCCTGCAAAGGGCTGGTGCACAGAACAGCCACATTTACTGCCACTTTGCTTTTCCTTCCTGGCACATGGAAGAGCAGAGCTCTCTGGGCAGCCAGCAGTGCCCATCTCCCCTGGGTCGGTACAGCACATCATCTCCGACCCAGGTTTGTCACCCAGCAGCAACGTGAACTGAGGATTGGCCTCAATTTGCTTTGCAAGCTCATGTATCTTTGCTTGGGGCCTGAGGTTTTTCCAAAAACCTCATGCTTTCTATTAGTCAGTGCATGAGCCTGACTACAGTTAACAACATCAAGTAATGCCATTTGACTTCTCTTAGTTTTCTGGCTCCTTATTCAGCATACAGCTGTGCCAAATCATGCTTCAGCTGGGCTCACAGGCATGATCATAAATAGCCTGTACAAAAACCACTCAACCCCAAACTGTTATCCTGAGCATCATTAAATCATTCCCCTCCTCCCTCCCTTTCAGTCCATAAACTTTTCCCTTTGTTCTTGAGATGAGATCCTGTAACTGTGTTGTGGCCCACAGTGAACATTTTATGGATGACTTAAATACCCAAAGAGTAGAGCACGGATGCACGTAACACAAGTGCTTGATGACAGACTTATGTTTGGGTTAGTTAACAAAAACAACAGCACAAAACCCCTTGGGTCACTGAATTTGTATTCTAAAATGGTATTTGTGTATCTGCATGAACTGACCTCACTCCTAAATCAGTTCTGCTCTAAGAGACGGGCATGAAACATGAGAGTTGGAAGGAAAAAAACCCCAAAGACAAACAAAATGCAGCTGAGCTGTGCTGGTGCCCCTTGGTACCTGGGAGGGAGCCCTCCCCATCAGCTGCCTGCTCTCCCCATACCTGACCTCTGTCCCCAGCTCTCCTGCCCAAATGGCACACTCTGTTCCATCACCATTCACATC